AAAAATACTAATCCACTACCAGGGGCCCCCTAGAGTGCGGAAGCCTCCTGTTTGACATCCATGTTCAGGGGTCTGGATCAGTCCTGTACTGGCCTCCCAGACAGCAGTCTAGGGTCCATGTGCTCCCCCTTGTACAGGCCAGCTGTGATGCACAACTTTTTTGTTTTTGTTTTGAGACAGGATTTCTCTGGGTGTAGCCCTGGTTGTCCTGGAACTCCCTCTGAGGACCAGGCTGGCTTTGAAAGTACAGAGATCTACCTGCCTCTGCCTTCTGAGTGCTGGATCAAAAGGTGAGTGCCACCCTCCCACCCTCATCCCCCCCTTCCTGACAAAGGTGGATACGACTTTAATCCCATCACTCAGAAAAGCAGGTGGATATCTGTGAGTTTAAGGCCAGCCAGGGCTACATAGTGAGATCCTGCCTCAAAAACAAAAACAAACAAACAAACAAAATCCTTTGATATAAACTCTACACTCCCCAAGCCAGGGCAGGAAAGTTTTATAGATTGTAGGCCAGGGATGATGATGTGTCTCCCACAAGCTGGGTTTACACCCAAGTATGATCAAAAGCTAATCAGTTATGCAGGGACTTTGGTGGCTGGCAGCTTCAGGGGAGGAAGCTGCAGTAGCCTCCAAGAACATGGAACTGGGCTTTTGGGGCATTTCTTTTTTTTGGAGACTGTGCTCAAATTCTAATTGGTCTTAATAATAAAAACTCAGAGTCAGATATTGGGGTAAATGCTGAAAGATCAAGGAAGTAAAGGAGCCAGCCACTAAAGAGACTTCTTACTGCCGGCGGTGGTGGCACATGCCTTTAGTCCCAACACTCGGGAGGCAGACGCAGAAGGATCTCTGTGAACTGGAGGCCAGACTTGTCTACAGAGCAAGTGCCAGACTCCAAAGATAAACAGAGAAACCCTGTCTCGAAAAATGAGAGAGAGAGAGAGAGAGAGAGAGAGAGAGAGAGAGAGAGAGAGAGAGAGACTTCTTACCTCTGCTGAATCCTCAGACCAAAGGTTTGTCTTCACAAATCCTCATACTGAATAGAACTGAGATCCTGTCTCCACCCACTTTATATACCTGTCTCCACTAACCTAGTGATGGGATTAAAGGCATTCCTTTAATCCCAAAGTACTGGGAGATCCCAAAGTTGATCAAAGGCATGAGATCCAAAGTGCTGGATCAAAGGTGTGTGCCACCACTGCCTACCCTCTACGGTAAACTAGCAGCTAGCTCTGCCCTCTAATCTTCAGGCAAGCTTTATTTGTTAGAGCACAAACATAATATCACTGAGCCAGTGGGGTTTGGAGAGAGAGGGAGACAGGAATAGGATTTTCAGATTGTGCAGTGATGTGCTGGAGGCTCCAACTGAACACTACTATCTAGTCCATAAGGATGCCCAGCCCTCGGTGTTGGAACCCAGCCCCCATGAGGTCTCTAAGAGTTGTTTTCTAGCATAACCACAGGTACCTCCTGTTTTCCTGACCTCACCCCACTGGGATCAATATCCTGTTGTGAACCCTCTGATCTGGGGTTTTTGTAAATTTGTATATAAGGCTGCTCTACAATAAAGGTGAGAGACATTCTCTCAGAAAAGGACCAGGAGTCTTGTGGTTCATCCAAATCTCCAGGCTTTGCTCAAGAGCAGCCACAAGTGGAGATACTACCAAGATCAGGAAAGAAAGGGGACCCTGAGAGATCACCCTCAGAAGGCTAGAAAGCAAGTAAGGAGTTGTGAGGGTGGATTGCAAAAGGTACTAGAAAATAGGTACCTCAACTCCTGAGAGAGTTGCATTGTAAAAGCACTGGAAAAGGGGTGCCTCAACACCTGAGAGAGTTGGATTGGAAAGTAACTGGAAGGGGTGCCTCAACTCCTAACAGAGTTGGACTGCAAAGGCACTGGGAAAGGGGTGCCTCAACTCCTAAGAGAGTTGGATTGGAATAGAGATCACAGTCAATCACACAGATAAAGTTTAAAGAGACAAGGTACTGGTAAGATTTAATTTTAACTTTGGATTAAATAAAGACAGCAAATCTGACACTGAGGAATCCCTCCTCCAGAGCTACCCACCAGCAGCCAGCTGACCCAGCAGCCCGTGCTTTTGTCCCCTCGAGCCTGCTGTGGGCTCTAGTCAGTCAGCAACGATGTGGTATGCACAGGCTGGCTGGAGAAATTGCCTCCTGAGAAAAAGTTGGGGCGCTATGCTTGGAAGAGCCCTGACCTTCAATAAACAAGAGCTCCAAAAGAGGTTTATGTTTGATATCATTACCAATGAGCACCAGACAGTAGAGTGATACAGCTGCACAAAAACTTGCCCAAGGCAATAGACACTGTACAGCACTGTCATCAATGAGCTCCCTTTCAAGACACCTGTCACCAAGTCTTTGTCCATGATCAACCACACCTTTAACTCCAGCTCCTCCCAGCACTGCTGTTCCATCTCCAATTCAGACTCCAGAGACAGTTAGGCGAACTATGTCCCTATGAAGAATCCAAAGTCTTCATCCCCAGTGGCACTAACAACCCAGCTCCAAAAAAGAGTACTGCCAATGTGAATTACATAGCCCTGGGCTTTCAGCTGGTCTCCCAGAGCCCTTATCACAAGCCATCCACATCATGTGTCGCATCGGAGAGAAAGGAGAATATGTCCAAGTGGATAAAGAAAAGACCCAGGCCCTACAAAAGACCATACAGGAATGGACAAAGATGCGGCAGTCCTCAAGACCCTCCAAAGATGCCAAGCTATAGTAAGGACGGCCATCCCTGACACCTCCTCTCCTTTGTGACTTTTGTTCAAAAGATGTATGTGTGCTCTGTATGTATGGTGTGGCCACACATGTGTGTATGAAGTGTGATCATAAATGTGTGATTGTTAACAAAAGAATGCTATTGTGTTGTCTTT